GATTCCACATGAGCCACTTCCACTGCTCCATTCTTAAAATGTTGTTATTAACTTCTGACATGCCGACATAATTGTGGGCCCCATTTCAGTGCCTGGTTAGTCATAGCTTACACTGCTACTAGAAAAGGGAGAGTCATTAACTCTGTAAACATACAGTTCACATTTAATATGATACTTACAGTTAATATTGTCCATATGTCAAAATTTCTCCCAAGTGCTTCATAAGTGATTACAGTCAACAGTAGTGATTGTTTTTGTAGATGTGCACAACAATTTCGATGAACAGTGTGAAGTGACTTACTTATCGTGATCTTAATCGAAGGCAAGGAAACCGGAAGAAGCTTCCTTCCATTTTTGAACAGTATCATGAGTTGCTTAACAGGCAGATTTGTTTCTTATTTTATCCAAAGGACGTCACTTCTGGCAATGCAGCACTCCCTTAATACTCCACTGGAATGGCGATTGAGATTGTGAGCTGAAAGTCTACCATTTTAAACAAGTGCTGTAGTGGCTTCCTGTACAAATGCTGTAGTACTACCTGTAGTTAGTATGTTCAGGGATGATCAAATTGAAGACGAGTAACAGTGGAGCACTTTATTTAAAAAAACTCTTAAGTCACAATCTCGTTTACGTAACTTGCTGCATCTCCCCATGGCATCAACATTTCCTAGTGGGCCAGGAGCTTTTTATACATATTATTCCTTGCATTTGATATAGCACCTTATCACATCTTCAAGATGTCTCAAAGCGCTTCACAGAAAGTACTCTAAAGTGAATTCACTGTATATTTTTGTGGACGAAACATGGCAGCCAATTGCGCACAGCAGTGTCCCACAAGCAGTCAAATTATTATTAAGGGATTATTACCCTGGAAAAGCGATTCGCCAATTGACTAATAATCGGGTTCCTACTTACTACTAGTAAACAAAGGTGTGTGGAGAAAGGAAACTTGCCCAACATTTTGCCATGCCCAGGAATCGAACTAAGGTCTCTTGCTTGTGAGGCGAGTGCTCTAACCATTCAGCCAGAGAACTCCACTCTGCAAAATGCAAATTCTCTCTTTGTAAAGCAACTTACTAATGACATTGGCCAATTTTGATTATTGGGTTATAAATGGTAATTTTGCATGATAAAGGATCAGAAAACCAAATGCTATTTTTTCTGCAATGCAGTCACTCAAAACAATTATTTAATCTAATTAGTTTTAATTATGTGAAATGTCATCCTAATCTAATCCAGGGATGAAAGGTGATGTTGGAATTACAGTAATTTTGTAATGAAAGGAAAAAATCCTTAGTCCTGAAATTTTCACATTTGTGAAAATGGTTCTGGATACTACTTTTCCCCTCTTCCACCTTCACTTCTGTAAATTTATATTTAAATATTTCAGCGTTTGATTTTCTAACCCATTCCATTGCCTGTACTGTAAACCAAAACTATTATATTATAAAGATTTGCCAGTCCATTCACTAAAATGTATTTCTCAAATTGTAGAAGTTGTTTTAAAGAATGGATGTTTGACTGCAAAAAACTGAATATGTTCCTGTTACAATTGCTGAGAAGCTTAATGATTGAAGAGGGCTTTACTAGTTGCATGAAAAGGCTTTGAACAGCAACAAAATTACATTTGTATAGCGCCTTTCACGTTGGGAGGATGTCCCAAGGCGCTGAACAATCAGTATTTCAGACCAGAGCTGGGGGTTGGGATCAGTGAGGGTGGAGGGCAGGCAGGAAAGGAGGGTGACCGAAGGCATGGTTGAAGAGAAGGGTCTTGAGAAGGTCTTGAAGTTGGCAAGGGAGGTGGGGCGAGACGGAGGGACTGCGGGATGGAGTTCCAGAGGGTGGGGGCAGTGTGGCTGAAGGCCCGCCCGCCAATGGTGGGGCGGGCAAGGCAGAGGATGTGAAGCAGGCCAGAGCCCACTGAGCGGAGGGAGTGGGCAGGTTGGGAGGGGCCTAGGAGGCCGCAGTGCTAGGAGGGAGCAATGTCATGGAGAATTTGAATGTGAGGACCAGGATCTTGAACTGTATCCTTTGTGTGATGGAAAGCTAGTGGAGTCTGGCAAGGATGGGTGTGATAGGATCGCACAACCTGGTGAGGGAGAGGACATGGGATGCAGAGTTTGGATGTTCAGCAGCCTATGGAAGGAGGAATTGGGGAGGCCAATAAATGGAGTTTGCGTAGTCGACCCTGGATGTTATGAAAGCGTGTATGAGGGTCTCAGCGGCCTGCAGTGTGAGACAGTTGCGGAGCTGGGCAATGTTGTGGAGGTGGAGGAAAACACAGCAGGTCATGGCACAGATGTGGGGTAGAAAGAATAGTTGGGGTCAAACAAGGCGCCAAGTTTCCAGACTGGCTCAGTGAGGTGGAGTGTGCATCCTTGAATGCTAATGCTGCGAGTGCCTGAGGTGCGGAGGCATTGACGGGAGCCAATCAGGTTGGTCTTGTTGACATTCAACTGTAGTGAGTTAGCTCTCATCCAGGACTTGATGTCAGACAGATGTTCTGTCAGGACAGCAGTGGATCTGCATTCTTTGAAACCATGGGACACTCTAATTTCTGTAATGAAAGATGAGCAAGTAAAATTTACATATGAAAACAATCGGAGGGAAAAACAATCTTTGGTATTAAAAATAAGTCGTGGGAAGCAGATGGATTGAGGATGTATGGAGGGGTTTTCTGGAGTACGTTGAAAGAAACTTGTGACTAATGAACAGGTGAACCGAAGGGATTGACATGTTAACAGCAGTAATGGTCACAGTTGATGGTAGTCAAATGCTGAAAGGCAATACGCAATTTTGTGAGGATTGTTTGAACAAAATTCTCAGAAAACGTTCATTTTTGTGCCATAACACAAAGACATTTGCAGGACTTCCTCAATCAGAAATGAATTGTACATGGAATTGAATTGGCAATATACAAGCCACACATTTCCTGTGTGTTCATGCAAATAATGGTCATCGGTACATAGAAGGGACAAGATTCAGGTGATTATACTATCTGGGGTAGTTTCACACCAGAGTGTGAAACTTATATGATAACAACAGTTATCATGTTGTTGCCTCAGTTATAATCTTGCAGAGGTTAGACACAGCTCCACTACTACCTAAAGGATAGACTAACACCAAGTCCAAGAGATTTCCTCTGCAGACTAACAAGCAGGGCTCCTACTAAATTCGACCACTAGGTAATATATTATCCTTGACAAATTTTGAAGTTGTCAGAGGTGAGCAGGGTGTAGCTTCCTTTAAAGCTTCACAGTCTTCTTGCACCTTTCAAATCCATCTTTAGTCCCAGTGTGATTTGGATGTGGTTAGCAACTCAATGAAAGCCACCAAACAAAATTCTGGTTAAATAGTAATGTGTCTTTCTGGGAGCCATGCACCTGTGAAGCTTTGGTGGGAACAGGTTTGAACTCAACTGTGAAACCACTCTAGGTCAAACAGCCTGCATGCATTCATTTGTCCAATCCAGTCATGTATGTCAATGGTAAATTAAGGGTAAACATACTCCCACCAGCATTGCTGGCAGATTTACTGAGTATATGAGTGGATAGAATGGAGATGAGGGATTGATTGCATTGTAAATTTTACCTTTTTTTAAACAAATCCTTTTAGAATTGCATATTGAGAATTGTTGCGATGCAGCTGACTAACATTGTTAATGCTCAACTGTAAAGACCTGAGTTTGAATTCAGTTTTCCAAAGGAGGCATGGGTCACGGGTATTTATGTAAAATTCAAAACAAAATTTAGATTCCTTGCCTTCTTTCATGGTGATTTTGTGTTCACAGCACAAAACTGCCCCGAATCTCTACTTTGAGCTTTATTGCAACTCAGATAGTTGAAAGTTATAGAATGTAAACATGTTCTTTCTTTATAAAAGAACAGTCCATTAGTAGACTAGCAAGGTTGAGTGTGTTCCCTAGTCAGTTATTGATGGTGTAACTAAAAAGCCATAAACATGCAATAATTTGTCCACAAGTATTGTCAACCTTATGCTGCTCTCTTGCAGAGAAATTGTTTTCTTTCTTGCTATTTCTCCTGGGGCTACCTTTGCTGCTGCTTCTTGTAGTGCATTCTGAAAGGATTGGCATGTTGCTAGCTTACACTCTCCTGTTGTTTTATAACATTTCACACAATTTTTACACTTGGTAAAAGACATGTTTGCCTATAAGCCTTTTTAAATGTTTTCACCTTGAGTAGACTACAATCTGCTGTTGGCTCTAACACATTTTAGCTTATTTAAAGAACGCAATCTGGAATTTCCCTTTGTTTTGTAAATAAGCAAACTACATATATCACTACATGTATCTTGTTTCAAATCAAACAGTCCAAAGAGTATTTGGAATTTCTCCAAAGTTTTGTGATTTCTTCTGTCTGTTATTCCAAATGCATTTCTGTAGAATTTCCCTCAGAAACCGTCATCAAAAGGTGAGAAACTTTAGACGCTCTATTAAAACTGTACCAATTCAAAAAATACTGCAAGTCTTAGACTGTAACAAATCAATTCTCCTGTGAACATCTTACACAAACTTATCAAGAAAATGTTTAATGCTAAAATGTACACATTGTATTCGGAAGTGATTACAGTAAACCTCGTATGACGCATCATTTGGGACCATACGTTTAACATGACTTATGCAAAATATGAGTTCTATCAACGTTCCACAGAATATAAACTCTTGAACGGGACTTGGGCAGATGTATGACAATTATACAATTTATGCAGATCAGACTTATGCGAGTTTTACTGTAATAAACTGGTGGCACTTTGAGTTGGATATGCTTAAATTATTTCACAAGATAATTTCTACATCGTTATTTTATTTCAGCCATTACTGTAAGCAGTTTAAGCAAACCAGATGTGCAATACTAATATTTCATATTTTATGGTGGCAAATATGTTTATCACTCAAGCATTTCTTTAATAATTGCTTTGACACATTTGTTCATTTTTTGGGGAAATGGACCTTAATTCACCAAATGATTATGCTTTTTCAGGTTCTCTTAGCAGAAGTCTCAGCACTGAAGTGTCGATAACTGTGGGACCTGACCCAGTGGATCAGTCCTCCCCACCACTGCCACGTGCCACAAAAAGCAGAGTCTCTGGGAAACTTCGCCGCTCTGCCAGTTCACTCAGCAAATCTTCAAACTGAAGGACCTCAAATGGACCTGTGATAAACAGAGGCCTGCTTTTCAGCCTCTTTGTTTTTCTAACTAATTTTCTGTCTTAAAATAACATCCACTTCAAATGGAATTTGAAGCCTTCATCTTTCTTTGATGTAAAATGTAATCCAGGTGCAGGAAAGCAGTGTTCCAGATCTTACTCTTTCAGCAGAAGATGCCCAATGTTAGTCTATTCAGAGTTCAAACACTGTACATTTCAGAGGAAGCCATTATGGTTTAAAGGCCTTATGGTAATCCCATTAGCCATATTTGGGAGGATGCCTGATTTTTCTGGTTGGGCTGTTTCACTAATCATGGTATGGAATGTCATGTGTAACATTATTATGTTTCTGTTGACCCAGAAGCCACATGAAGACGATATCAGAAGTTATCACACTTGCCTGTTTACTGTGGTATGTTTGGTGTCTGAGACACTACAAATGAATGTGGCTCAGTTTGGACACTCTAAACTGTGCAACATGAAGCTTAACTATTGTTGGTTGAAGTCTTTTATCAATATTGTAACCAAGTGGAAAAACACTTCTTATCTGAAATGTATATGAACAATAGACGGGACTTTTTTTTAAAAAAAAGTGACAGTTTATTGGTTGAGCTCTAATTCCAAATTGAAGTTTGTGTTTCTTTATATTTTAAAAAGTTAAAGGATTGGACAGGGGAGACGTTAAGAGAGGGTTCTTAGTCTGTGTATGTGTGTGTGGGTGTCACACCCCTGGCAGAAGAAAGGCTTTGTTCAACAGGCACAGATTGTTCTTGTGCTTTTGTTCTTTTAATACAAATATGTGCTCAGTATATTCAATATCTGCAAAATAGATTTTGTGTTTACCTTGTCTCGTTTACCCAGTTTCCTCGTGTACCCCACCCCCGCGCCCCCATACTTCTAAATTATTTTCTCCTACTTGTTTATTCCTTGAAAATTGCTGCTAGACCGACTGGGAAAAGCACCAGAATCATTGGAAGAATCTCAGCTGCCTGGTCACACCTTCTCACCCTGAGTCTCTTGCTAGGAAATTTGCATTCAACTTGAGGAGTTGTATATTGGGAAAGCTTAGAAAAAGGCTTTATTTTTATTTGTTCTGGTTGTTATAAAATAAGTCTGCACTGCATTTTGCTTCAAATATTTTACACATTTGTAACATTAAATCAAGGAAAGAATAATGTTCAGATTCTTATGAGGCCAAACTTTGGTCTTTTTAATACATGTTGAACATGAAATATGTTGCCGTTTTAAAGATTTACAAGCACAAGTATCACAGGAGAATGGTACATACCAAATATCCAAACAAAGTGGAATAATTCCTCACTGTGCAGGAAACGCACAGCAGGTTAATCGGAAAGTGAAAGATGGGGTAATGTCTGGGATGTGACCCTTTATCAGAATTAAATCAGAAATTTAAACCATATCATGGATAGCAGATTGGAATATGATGTGGTAAGTTGTAAGGACGATTTATGTGTAGTTCTGCCAGTTAATTGGGTGCCTGTTGCAAATCGTATATCTAAATTTAAAATCTCACCCATCACTGACGAATAAAATGTATGGTTCCTGTTCTCGGTGTTGCATTCTTCAACTTTTCCATGTTATGTTTAAACACTTAGTCGCCATTCCCAATTGGACCATTATTGTCACAAACATTATAATACCTTTGTGATGCTCCAGTAAAAACATCATTCCAATTTTGCTCATTGTCAATGTTTTCAATAGATGATCATTATGCAGTTTGAGGTTTTGCGTCCTCATTACCAACAAGGCCCTTGGGGATTAAAATCTAATCTGAGCCACAACAACAAAAACATTGCATGTTGGCAATTGTTTCCGAATTGTAATTTTTCACCATTTTGATGCATGGAACCAATAAAGAAGAAATAGAGGAAGCACAGCTCCATTTGGTGTAATTTCTTAATGTGGAGCTTTGTTTATAGTGAGGAATATCATCATAGTGCTTGAAGATTGTCACAATTGGAACAGTAGTTCTGTTAACCTTTTGTATGCAAATGTTTGCTCTCAGAGCACTTCATTTTGTATCCTTGTGTTCCTGTATGCTTCCTTCAGTTGACATAAGGGTTGTAGTTTATTATTAGAAACTATATCTATGTTGAGGACTCTGTAAACTGAGAAAAAAATTGTGCTTTCCATTTTAAATTTCCAAGGTTTGTTACCTACAGAAAGGGATTATTTTATGTGTATGTGATGGGAATTCAAATGTTCTGCAGTGATGTAACCAATGTGTTTCTCAATGGATTATGTGGCAGTACTGTTTCTGTTGCACTTGTTCTTTGTGTACACGTCAAGTGAATGTGCTCTTCAGTTGTCCAATGGACAACACTTTATTTTTATTATATGTAAATATGGAGTAATATTTGATAAGCAGATTATAAAAGGCAGTCTTTTTAAGTTATAATTCGATTCTTTCACCATGTGCTGTTAGCTTGAGTGAATTTTTGTGCTTTGAAAACACAGCAGAGCCTCAGGCGATCTACCACCCAATGTACTCAGTATATATGATCATACAATTGGAGACACAGTCTCAGTGATAAAGTAATTCCCGTTTCATGTGGCATCCTTGCATACAATGCTACAACTGGAAAATGTACCTTTACAGATTGGGATTTGTTGTTAGTTTAAGTTAGTTTATTTGTTTCCTTAATCCCTTTTTTTAAACCCGAATAATGAATATTCTTAGAGGCTTTTTTTTGTAAAGGACAATGTTTTCTTAAGTAATGTTTGTGTAACTTTCTAATGATAAATATTGCAAAGTAGAATTAAAGAATTGTGCATAACCTCAGACATTTCTTAATTTCACAGCATTCTTGGACAAAGGTAATGTGCTTCTTTTAATTTTCTATTGAAATCTTTAGTTGCTAAAAGGTTTAAGCTAGGGGTTCTCAAATATTTTGGGCTCAAGAACCTCCCTTGACATTAGGCATCCTGACTGAGGATACCCATACAATAAATCCAGAGAAATTGAGTACCTTACTTTAATTGCAACAACATTTTAAAAGAATTAAAGAAAATAAATAAAAGTAATGCTTGCAATTTTAATGTAGATATCACACAAACTCTGGCTTCTGCATGCATAATGGGATGGTGTGCCTGGTAATCTCTGCACAAGTCATCATATCGTGGTTTAATTCCAGTCAATGATACTCGCAAGTCACTTTCCAGATGCAGAAGTGCTCTAACAATTGTAAGGTTAGGTAAGAACTTGAGTTGGTTCATTATAACACTTCTCAAATTATAAGGGACAGGTGAAGTGGGGAGGGGAGAGAAAGAAACAAATACACAATCATTGCTCTCTGCAAATTTGTACTTTTCTCTATTATCTAACTACGCAACCCTCAAAAAGCCTGAACTCCATAGTATTCCTTTAGTCACCAACCCTAGGTTTAATTGAAGAAGTCATTTCAACATTTTACTAGTTATATTTTTACTGATGATGATTCCCTTTTACCCCAAAGTATTTTCACACAGACAACATATTTGGCGGCCTAGAGCCCAGGCAATAAGAGCTGAATGGAATTTTTTTAAAAAGTAAATAAAGCAATGAAATATTGAGATGCTATGCCTGATGCTGAAACAGAGCCCTTGTTTTTCCCTTAGCTTTGGGCAGAGATAGAGGGCTCAGGGCTATGGTTTTGCCTGGAGACCTGTACTGCGAGAAGCTCTGCGCTCGCTTCAGTTTGGCTTTCTGGACCGACTTCCTCAAAAACCCATTGCCTTCATCCACCAGCGGGGAAGGACATATCGCCACTTGACAAATGAAACACATGGCCTCTGAAACCATCTCACAGACCCCAGGGCTCTGCCAGCTCCAGTTTGGAAACCCTGGGTTTAAGCAATATCCAACTAATGACAAACCAATATTTTGTATCTCTATTTATTTTACTGTTGCAAATGCAAATTCTTAAGGCTATAAATTGAAACTACATATGTCAATACATTGATCTTATAACTTCATAAAATTATAGGATTGCCGTTGCAATAGCACTAAATACAGTAACAGGGAAAATGTAATTTTTATTTCAGCTGTCATTTAAAACTGGTTCCAAATTTGAACTATAATTAATCCTGTGCAGATAATTATTTACAAAGCATATTGGGCCTGTTCGGATTTTTTTTCGCTCTAATTGATGTTAAGTACAACCGTCTGTATATAACCTATTGAGTTTTATTTTCTTGAGTGCAATACTTGGCAGAATGAGTTTGGTTTGCTATTTTGGAGGCATAAAAAGCAATAGAAGATATTTAGTGCTTAACGCCAAACTTTTTATATGCTTGTCTGGTTTGTCTTGCCACTGTCAAATAGACAAAAGATTTAGTAAATCAAATATTGACTACAGTTTCATCCTATAACTCTCATTCCAACGTTTCACATTGATATCCTCAACTCTGCTTGTATATTATACTACTGCCCTAATTCTATAGCTGTGTATGTGGATTGCTTCGCTAGTTGCTTAGAAAATTAATTTCTAATTACAGAAATCATACCCAGGAAAATATTGTGTGTTTCACTGAACGCACATTTTAATGTCGATTCAAAGTAGCATTCAGATTTTGAATAACTGCATTTAGGATCGCATGATCCTTTTGTGCCTCACATAAGACACTACTAGTTCTTTGGATCGTGTTACTTCAGTTTACAGCCTCCAATAAATCACGTCCCTGATTTGGGGTGGAAACGGAAGAATAAGAGTTGCATTTGAAGTGAAATAGATTCATCCTGTCCAGCTGTCCAGACTTACTCAAAACCAATAATTAGTGCTGTAATACTGTGTGTAGTTAATTCACTGAAAAGTTATAAGCAACAAATTTGTGGTTTCTATTACAGGTCAGATACTATAACTTTGACCTTCAATCTGCTGAAACTTTTGAAGACACAGCAGAGATATGTGATAAGGTAAAGGTTGATATTCAAATGATCCTGAGCTTTCTAAAATCTTAACTTCCAAGTCTGAAAACTGTATTTCCAAATTTCATCACAACATATCTATTTTTCGTGACCAAAGTTTTTGAGTAAGTGCTTTTCTGCATTTGTAGAAACATTTGCTGGGCTAAATTAGAGTGGGAGCATTAGCAGGTTATCCATGTTATCAACTATATAAAATATTAACATTGGAGTTATTTCTTAGCTGGCGCAGCAGCACCTTTTTGTCTATATTATTTTGTGAACAGAATTTTGTTCATCAAACTCTCACTATTATTTCTCTCTGTTACGCTACACAAAGCTCAGCTTATCAGCCTCCACCTGTCAGGAAGGTTTCTAAAGTTAGTGGATGGGTTAGTCAATGCACCAGGCCTGAGCTTTCCAATGTTAAATGCTTATTAAAAAAAACATTGGCGGCAGAACAAGGGAAGTTATACTGTTACCGACATGTAGCATTGACAGTGTAACAAGCTTTTCCAGGTGGTCCCACCACACAAGTCAAACACCATCAGCAGCATTGTGCTACACATTTGGCATCAAAACAGTACGGTATAATTGGAAAGTAAGATCGATCCCTATACACTATTTCTACAAAAAAGAATGTAAAATGTGTAGATGGCAAGCTTCCTAAACTATGCCAATACTTCTCTGTAGCCAGTGGTTTGATGTCCAGCAGCTTCCTAGAGATGATTCTCTCTCTTCTACCCATGTGAAAGCACGACTTTCTGCTACTCTGAGGCTCAGCGTGGTAGGAAACAGGAATCCAGTGCTATTAAGTTGTCTTTGTGAACAGGAAGACCCTCATTCTTTCTTTCAATTTCCTTCCTCCTCTAATTATGGTTGATTCCTTTTTTTGTGTGGGGGACGGTTCTGCTATATTATCTCGCCTCTGGACAGGGATCAGGAACAGCAACCCTGACTCATTTTCCCCTACTCTAACCCAGAGGAACTGCAGCCAATTGTGCCAACTTCAGTTGCTCCCTCAATGAAGATCAGCTAACAGCACAAGCAACAATTTAAACTGCACCCTATACAACTGAGTTTATGGCAGTGCCTTTATCCATTAGCATATCAGGGAAGCTTTAAAAGTCTTCTTAAGATTTACTGTATTCATTTTATTTGCCTGGCTCCTGAAGATTTCTTAATTTACTGTCTCATAATGATTAAATATTTCCCACAGAGTGGTCTAACGTGCACTGATCATGAATGCCACCAAACACAAGTCACTTGCACAATTATTGAATGAGAAAGTAAGAATTGCCATGTGTTCCAGGCATTACAAGCTGTGCTGTGTTCAGAAGTTGCAGCTCCTCTCTTCTGCTTAAATATTATAAACTGAATTAAAACAAGTGGCTAAACTAATTGATTGGAAGGCGAAATGATCTAGACCAGTCAGTTAAACTCCACGTGGGATTAAGGTATCTTAAAGTGTATGCAAAGATTTTATCTTAAAAATCTGTTTTTCATCAAAAATGTATGAAATCAACCAGTGTTGATCTCAAACGTCCATTTTGATATTATATGAATTATTCATTCAGAATCCCTCTGTTTTGCAGCCTGGAAAATATGATTTGTAAATTGAGAACAGCTCACTGTTAATATATCAAATAATGTTTTTAAAATGAAAGTTCAGGATACCTTTGTTATGCGAATTGTGATGAAGAATGATTTCAATAAAAATAACGGTTTCAACCTAATTTGTATTTGTGTGAATATCGACTTTATGATTGCTTCTCGTGTAAACGAATCAGATTCCCAATGCATTTAAAGTGCAAAAAGGCGAAACCTTTGTTTTAATACATCGATGGTCCAATAAAACTAAGTTATGCAAATGTGATTTTCCCATTTGGTATGTATATGCAAGCTCTGTCCGCTGATCAAAAAAGCAGATATGGAGAATTCTCACATTTTATTCAGACTCTGCCCTCCAAAGTGGGTTGCCTCTGCCACCAGGATAATGCATATGTGTTGCTAAAGAAATGACAGTACTATTTGCAGGGTTACAGACTTAACAGGAATGAATGACCCTGATCTCTCGCTCTGAAGCACTGAAATCCCTCTAAAGCATTTTTATGCTTCATGCTGCTAAATGGACTTGGCTCTTCTGTAGTATTTACAGAATCCTGCCTACGAACTTACATTAATGCAGCAATTATGTTAGTACAGTACAATAGCAACCAAAATATAAATTGCAGTAGAACGTATTTATTGTTTCTTACCTATTTCAGATATAATGCTGAACATTTGTATAACAGGAAATCATACAGTGAAAATTGATCTAAATATAAACATGCAGGAGTGTGATTGCTGTAATGTGAATTCAGCTTCTGTAATCCTCTGGAAAGAAGATTTCACATAATAGTAAACTGGCAGGAGGGACAAGACACTCATTTAGCCTGGCAACCTGCTGTTTCTCAATTGTCACGATCACTGCTTTGGAAAGCAACACCTTTGGGATTCTATTACACTTGTGATATTGGAAAAAGTGAAATGCTGCAGACTGATTCTTGAGGTGATTCAGGATTGTTTGATGTGCTGCAGGAAGTGCTGAAAGCATCTGCTGTCAAGAGAAAATAAGATGCTGCCGGGCTGCTTCTTTACGAACCAATCTTTTCAAAAGGTTCACTCACAGCTGGTCAACATGTGGTGGTTCCTCGTGCTCCTAGGTCAGCTCCATTCAATAGGGTCAAAATTCCAGTAGACAAAAGATATTTGAGTAAAGGGGCCTGGACTGTGATCCAATATAATTTTTTAAATCTTAAAGCAATTTTTCAGTAGGTAGGTGGAGAGGTTCCACAGATACAAGAGCTGACAACAGTGAAGGAGATCATAGCTCAAGTGGTAACCCCGGTGGGAGAGGAAAATATCAGAAAGCTTCAAACTATGGCTGACCAGGTATATTGTTAATGATAATCATTTAGCTTTAAGTTTCAGATTTGTACCTTGTTTCTAAGAGCCCAAGCACTTACACCTCAGCATAATCAGCAGCAGGAGGGACACCTGTAAGGAGGATGTCAGTAGCATTGTTCCCCACAGGGAGATTTGAATGCAAATGATGATAATAATAATAATAATAATCCTTGCATTTGATATAGCGCTTTTCACGTCGGGAGGACGTCCCAAAGCGCTTCACAGAACACACTGTAAAATGAATCGACTGTATGTTTGTGGGCGAACGCGGCAGCCAATTGCGCACAGCAATGTCCCACAAACAGTCGTAGATTGAAAATGACCAATTTATTATTGGTTTTTTTTGGAGGTATTATTATTAGGCTCTGTGTGGAGTAAGGAAACTTGCCCAAGGTTTCGCCCTCTGCCTGGAATTGAACTCAGGTCTCTCACTTGCGAAGCGAGTGCTCTAACCACTGAGCTACAGGACTCCACAATGATGACACCAACAAAGAGGGTGGAGAGGCTGAGGGGAACAATGGCTCTCTGACATCCTCATTCCTAAAGCCTTAGCCCCACGGGTCCCACTCTACAGCAAGCAATGCAACTGCACCGCACCACTTCCGTGGAATGTCAGAGGGAAAAGTTAAGATGGAGCAACACATGACAGCCCAAATACTGGAGAGATGAGGAAAGCGGTCTGGAGATGTAGCAGACCTGCAAGATGTCTTGTTTATGAATGGGTGGAGGTGGGAGAGGTCGTTCATCTCTGCCTCCACTCCCTCTCCCTCTAGCCTGGGGAAAACATTGTCAGAGGTTCCATTCTCAGGTGAGTGACCACACATGTCAGAGAAGGCATTGGATTGGGATCTAGGAATAATAATCTTGCATTTGGCATAGTTATTTGCATTTGGCATAATTATCACGTTATTGAAAGTGCTTCACTGGAGCTACTGTAAATTGGTGTCACTGGAGTTAATTTGCAAACAGTAGTGTCCCACAAACAGTCATGGAGTGGATAAGCAATTTTTATTTGGAGGATTGTTTGCCAAGGCACCAAGAGAAACAATCTTCTGTTTTTGAATTGTATCATGAGATATTTAATGTCCACGTGAACAGGCAGACAAGGATCTTGGCACCTTCAGAAATGCAGCACACACACCACAACACTGCATTGGTGTCAGCCTGGACAATATGACTTCCAAGTCCCCATGTGGGGCTTGAACCCAGGACCTTCTGACTCAAAGGCAAGAATGCTATCAACTGACCCAGGCTGATTATTGGAGATCCAAATAGTTTATTTTTTCTTTTAGTTAATATAATTAATGTAAATGCATAACTCGTTTTAGTCATTTATTCTGCTTGTTCATATTTACTACACAGCTAGATTTCACTTGTTATTTTGCGTTTGCCAACAATACAAAGTTTAGTTTATGTGGTTCCAAAAACCCATATATTTATATAATTTTTGACCTATAATAATTAGCTCAAAACTTGCACAAAACTACAACAACAATTTGCAGTTATATAGCTTCTTCACAGAAGTTGCGTCTCAGAGCACTTAGTTCCTAATAGCTAAAAACAAAGACTTTTTAACAATAAACAGGTGCAAAAATCCTCTCAGGAACTTAGGGTATATGATTAACCCATGTTTTTCTCATTAAGTCCACAAATGATATCATCCATCTTAATTTACAGTATTAATGTTCTACACAGAAATAATGTTCTTTACAGAATTTAGAGTTCATTCAATCCAACTGAAAAGGGGCTTATTTTGTGAAAAGTGACTTAACAAAACTAGTCAGTTTTAGTGTCTTAAAATTCTCCACTTGCGCAGGTAGAATTAACAAGTCATTCCTCCTTAATGGCCTTTAACATGACCCTCTAATGTGTTTAACTGCCTGCTCTACTTGCTGCAGGTAATAAAAGTTTTTACTGTTGCAATTTAAAGAGACAATATAAAGTAGCTTAAACCCTGATTTTATTTTTTGTATTACCATTCTACATGTGTTATTTGATGATCCACATGTGTTAATGCATGCCACCTCTCCAACTTGCTCTACACACCCCCTTCACTTGGCCAGCTCCGGCTTTCTGCTGGTCCCCTCCACCACTGGTGACTGTCTTTTCAGCCACTACCCACCAAATCCTGGAACTCCTTGCTCCAATCCTTCTGCCTTGCCCCATCCTTGCCCATCTTCAGACCATCCCCAAAGCCCTTCCTCTTTGACTGTGTCTATGGTCACTTCTCCTCTCCCTGGCTTAGCATCAAGCCACAGTTAAGCACTCCAAGATGCTACCCAGTGTGAAGGGTGCTATATAAATGCTTGTGGTTTGTATCACACAAAGGATACAGTTCACGTTCCTGGTCGTCACCTTCAAAGCTCTCCATGGTCTTGCTCCCACCTACCTCTGCGACTTCCTAACCTCTACCATCCTGGCCGCTCCCTCCGCTCAGCGGGCTCCGGCCTGATTCATGTCCCCCGCTTCGCCCACCCCACTATTGGTGGGCAGGCCTTTTGCCACTCTGCCTCCACCCTCTGGAACTCTATCCCACAGTCCCTCCGCCTCGCCCTCTCCCTTGCCTCCTTCAAGACCCATCTCAAGACCCTCCTCTTTGACCGTGCTTTCGACCACCCTGCTTCCCCTCACCTGCCCTCCACCCTCCCCACTCCCAACCCTTAGCTCGGGTCCAAAACTCTGACTGTCCAGCGCTTTAGAATGTCCTCACGAAGTGAAAGGTGCTATATAAATGTAACTTTGTTGTTGTATCAACAGAAATTCATGTAAAACCTTTTCAAATATATAACATTGATTTATCTTATAGAGCGTAACATATATGCAAAGTAGTGATAGTCATAATGCAGAAGACTTTGCAGTATGCACTCACTCATTGATAGCGCTTCAAAACATTCTCTGATGGATTTATAATGAAGGAGTTATTAATTCTATCAATTGTAATTATTTGGTTGTGTCCCAAATGCAAGATGTTGATGCTTAGGAATGAATTTTTAAAAACTATTTAACCACACAATGGAGCTTTCATTAAGAACTCCCAGACTAATGTTCAGGATGAAAACAACATTACTGCAGTGTCACATTCTAAGGCCAGGTCCCAGAAGTGAAAGGACAGTGTTCAGATGTATTCAACATAACTTGCATGGAAAATGTGGCAGATCATCATGACAAGCGATTTTAAATGCTGCTTACAAAACTCTTATCAAAAAATATTTAAATATTGTCTACCCTTTGCCTAAAAATGTTAGCATCCTTGCCAGAACACATAAGAAAATTAGGAGGCACATGAATGGGATAGAAGTTACACCAAGGGGGATGTTCAAAAACTCTACTAGTTTCGTACAATGGATGGAGATGCGTTTTCATGTTAAATGTGGAAACATCTACCTGCAGCTCTTCAACAATATGCTGAACCTCTCTTGTGATATCCAAAAACATTGAAGTAAGCTGCGATATGCTAATCAGTGTGTGTTGAAGTACAGCAATCACCAACAGATTCTAAGAGAAAATATCACACAGTTTACAAAACAAGTAACTGTACTCCTATTTCTCTTTGATTTTCATAATAATCCTTGCATTGATATCTCTTTAATGCCTCAATGTCTCAAAACATTTCACAGGAAATTGCTGTAAATGCTGCGGCTGGGTAAGTGTAGGCAAACCAATTTGTGCACAGCAAGGTTCCACAAACTGCCATGAAATGAATAACAATCAGCCATGAAATGATTATTGACCAGGACACCAGGAGAACCTCCCTCTCTTTTCTAAAGTGTTATGAGTGCTTTAACGT